TCGATTATTGTTTAAACAATCAAGAAAATTCTAAAGCTTTAATCTTTCTTGCAAAATTTGAAAAAAATAAATTCACTGCATTTAGGTATTATAATAAAGCAACTGATTTGAAAAATGCCAAAGAAATATTTAAAACAGGATATTGTTATAGATTTGGATTAGGAGTTAATAATGATATTAAAAAAGCAGTGTTTTATTTTAAAAAAGCTGTTGAATTAAAACATCCTAAAGCTACTTTTTTAACTGAAATATCTTATGATCATAGAGAAGGTATTATGGAAAATAGAGAATTAGCTTTTTTTTATTATAAAAAATCAGCTGAATTAAAATATGCTAAAGGATTTTATAAACTTGGAGAATTTTATATATTTGGAGAAGATAGTATTGTTCAGAAAAATGAAGTTCAAGGATTTAAATATTATCAAAAATCTGCAAATTTAGGATATTTGAGAGGAACAAATAAAGTAGCATATTGTTATAAAATAGGAAGAGGTTTTAAACAAGATGATGAAAAGGCTTATATGTTATTTAAAAATATTTCTGAACAACAAGTAAAAGAAAAATATTATTTATTTTAATTAGTACATTGTATCAATTAAATTTTTTTATATGTAATTTAAAATGTATTATCAAAAAGGAAATTAAAACTTTTGAAATCTAAATTTCGATTAAAGTATTCATATGAAACTTTTCTTTCTTTATATGGTCTTAATATGACCAGGTTACAAAAAAAAGAATTAAATGAATAGTTAAATCGAAATGAAACTGATAAAGTTGAACAATATTTCAAGATAAACTTTTTACATACATTTAATTATTTGGACCATTTGAAACTATATAAAAATAATTATGTAAAGAAAAATAATGATAAATATTTAATATTTATCTTAATTGGAAATATTGAACAGATATTTGATTCAATTGACAAAATATTCGATCATAATTTCATTACAATTAAAGAACAATCTGATTTTAAATTAATTAATAAATATGATTCTTCTGTATTAGTTATTAAAGAATTTGTTTGAAAAACTTGGGATCTTAATTTTTATCAAACTTTTAATAATTTTTATCGAAAGATTGTTTTTTTTATTACAAAATATCAAGTTAATGAATGGAAAGAAAAATTTAAACCTTTAAGTTATAATAATGATGAAAAAATATTTACAGAAAAAATTAATTCACGAATCAAAAATTTTGTATTATTAAATTTAAAAAACATACAAGATTCAAAGATCGAAACTATTTTAGAACTCAAATTTAACAAATTATTAAATAAAACTATTTCTAATTAGTGTTTAAAAAATTAATAAAGTTATCTATCTAGTCTAAAAAGACCAGATAGATTTTTTTATATGTAATTGTAAAATGAATAAATGTGAAGATTTCATTACTGAACCTGATACAAATACATTTTTCATCTATGATGCGATTGATTACTCAAATAATGAAGGATATTTTTTACGACTATATACAGTTTGTTCAAATGGTCGCAAGTTTTTAATCAACATCATAATTTAAGATATCTTCTTCGATATAAAATTAAATCAAGAAAATTCTATTTTATCATATACAAATGAATTTAAACCTCAAAGTTATGAAATTATTTACAAACAACCATTTGATTCTATTGAAAAATTTGAATTTATTCGATTTTATTTCAAAAATCATAATGAACGTAAAAAAGTACTCGATAAGATTAAAAATCAACAAAAAGAATTAGAAGAAGAATTAAATGATATCAAGTTGATAAAAGAAGATAAAAAAAAAGATGAAGAATCTGGAAAACGTATAAAATTTTCTAGAGAACATGAAATAAGAGAAGTGGAACTCAATAAATTATTAGATATATTTTGGTTACGATATGATACATATTCAGATGACAATACATGTCATTATCGAAAGGTTGCATGTGAAAATGATTTCGAATTAGTTGGATAGTATGAATTAATATCAGAAGAACCAGATAAATTAATAATCGTAAAATCAAATGAATTAATAACCAAAGGATCAAATAAATTAAAATTAGTAAATGATATGAACATTACTTTCGATCAAATACAAAAGATTGAATTAACAACATTACCTAAATTATTTATGTTATATTGGGATATAGAATCATGTTCAACACGAGGTCCAGAATTTTTACCGATAGGTGAAGAAAAAGATGATTATGTTTATATGATTCAGATGGATCTCTGTTTATTGAATAGTAAAGAACCTTTAAAACAATACAATATATCTTCATTAATAATAAATAATAAATTATTTAAAAAAAACTTATAATATAGATAATATAGAATTCATTAATGCAATAGATCAAAAAGATTTATTATTAAAATTTGCAGAATTATTTGGATATTTACAACCAGATTTTGAAATTGGATACAATACTGGAAGTTATGATTGGAATTTTGTACTTCGAAAATCAATTATATTGGGAATTGAAGAACAATTTGTTGATAATTTATTAAATAAAAAAAAATCTGCAATAAAATATTATATTAGAGAAACAACAGTACGAGTTGTTGATAAAAATATTGAAGAGAAAATGCAAAAATATGAATTTGCAGGGATCAATATTAATAATAGAAAGATAAAAGTAAATCCAATGGAAAATAGAACATGTGAATATTTTCATTTACCAAGAACTGTTTTTTTAGATTTATTAATATGGGTACAGAAAACATTTCTAACTGCATTGAGTAATACACTAAATAATGTTTTAGTTCGATGTGAATTACTTGGAAAAGTTGATCTACCATATGTTCCAGATAAAGAAACAAAAGATTTAGATTGTATGTTTATTTATATAACAGCAATCAAATATCGATATAATATTACAACACTTAATGACCTTTCATTAAAACTATCAAATTTAACTAAAATTGATAATAAAAAAATATTAGAAAAGATGCAAGTCAGTCCTAATATATTAGAAGAATATGCATGTAAGATTGCATATTACTGTTCAGTTGATACATTACATTGTCATGAATTATTACTGAAAAGAAATATAATAAGTGACTATATTCAGTTTGCTAAATATACTAGTATAACAATATCGAATGTATTCACAAATGGTGTAGGATGTTTGATAAATAATTTATATGGATGATATTGTGCTAAAAAAGATATACTAATATCTATAGTTCGAAAAGGAAGGATTGAGATAACAAAATATGGTGGAGGATTAGTCATACCACCTGAAATGCCATCAATAGAATTTTTAGGACAATTTGTACCAATTGCTGATGTGGATTTTGGATTAGAATATCCAAATGTAATAATTAATTCAAATATATCAAATGATACTTGTGTAGATATTAATTCAAATGATCCAAATTTTAATGTGATAACTGATAATTTCATAGTATATGGAAAATATAAAACTCATTATGGTGAGAAAGAAAAAATGTGAATTATGCCTTTAATGTATAAAGATTTATTAACAGCATGCAAAGATTCAAAATTAAAAATGAAAATATATAAAAATGATAAACAATTATATTCATATTACGAATCAAAATCAAATGCTCAAAAAGTATTGGCAAATTCAATTTATGGAGTAACTGGATATATATTTTCACCATTTTACAATAAACAAGTGGCATTATCTATAACTGCTTCAGCTCATTCATTTACATAACAAGTTATGGAAATCATAAAGTCACAAGGATGTAATGTAATTTATAGTGATACTAATTCAGTATTCTATACATTACCTACAAGTATATTAAAACAAATTTATAATAAATATAAACCTATAGACAATCCAGAAATTAAAAAACAATTTTGGACTGAAATGATAGAAGAAACAATTAGATTTTCTAAAGAACTTCAAATACATATTAATGAAGTTTTAAAAAAAGAGACTAGATATTCATATATGGCTGTAGCATATGAAAAAACTTTAATGCCTAGAATATTTTCATAAAAGAAAATATATTTTGGAATCAAACATGAAGATAAAGTAGAATTAGATAATTCAATACTTTTTCAGAAAGAAAGAAACATAAAAAAGAATGCAACAAATTTTTATTGAACTGTTACAACAAATATAATATAGTCAGTATTAGGATTTAAAGATCAAAAAGAAATTTTGATGAATGATGATAAAAGTATTGAACAAATAATAAGCGAAGTAGTCAAAAAATATATCAATAAAACAGATTTGAAATTGTTTAAACTAACAGATAAATACAATCCTAATTTTAAACATACATCTTTAACTGATTTTGCAAATAAAAAATTTCAACCTATAAAGAAAGGTGGCAATACAAAAGTAATAAATTTTGTAACTAGAATGCAAGATGATTATAAAATTGAAATTGAACTTGGACGATTTTATTATTACATACTAACACATCAAGATAATAAAGCACAAATATATGAAAAGATGTGGCCATGTTCTAAACTAAAAGAAAATCATAAAATAGATTATTTATACTATTTTAAATCATTACGAGATATATGTGCACCATTATTGAAAAAAAAAAAGAAGAAGCTGAACAATTTCTAGAAGTAATATATAATGAAAATTTAAAATATTCAAAACAATCTACATTAGTAGATTGTTGGAATATTGTAGAGAAAAAATTAGTAGAATTAAAACTTATAAGTAACAAAATGAACCAGATATTCCTATATCAAAACGAAATCGAATCGATTACTATTTCCAAAAGAAAAATTAAATATAAAAACAGCATGAATCCAATTTATTTCATTTATACAAAATGTTTACTCAAAAATTTATAATCGAATTTGGACCAAATGCTTCTTTATGTTTAATAGAAATTTCTAAAGCAGTAGCATTTACATTGTTTATAATCAGTTTAACAATTACAATTCATTTATTTATTCATATTTTCTATTCAATATTTAAATATTATACATCTAATCAGTCAAAGACTGATTAGATTTTTTTGTAAATAATTTTACAATGTCACAGGAACTTTTAATCAAAATTGGTCCCAATCTATGATTTTGTTTGATTGAACTTTTTAATGTATTTGTATTTGAAATATGTTTATTTTTATTACTAAAAATTTTATATAAAATTGTTTCTAATCAGTTAAATACTGATTAGAGTTTTATATAAACAAATTATGATCAATATATCACTAAAGAAGACTAATGACAAATATCATTTACAAGTAAATGATAAAACCAAAGAATGTAACAATTTTGAATTTGAATGATATTCAACATTATTTTCTGATTGGATTGTTCCAAGTTTAACTTATAAAAATGAAAATAGTTGTTATCAATATTTTGTAGTTCCAGAATTAGATTTTAATTATCGTTTACAAACATATTTCTACTATTATACTGAATCGAGTAACTATATTTACAATTTACAAACTAAAGAATCATTTAGTTTAAATAATAGAATTATAACTGATCAAATGATGCATCATAAATATGGATCATATATTTATCATAAAGTAGATGGAAAAAAATATTTTTATTCTCTGAAGAATTTGCAATACTTGTTTATAATTCAAATGCTGCAAATTATGATTTAAATAATGTTTTAAATTTATTAGTTTAAATTCAATTACTCTAATTAGTATATTATACTGATTAGCTTTTTCTTTACATAATTTTTAATTATTAAATTTTATTAAAATGTCTACTAACAATTTGAATATTAATTCAGATAATTCTAATACAGAAAAGTCAGATAATTCTGATTCTTCAGATTCTAATAAAATAAAATTAACAAAAAATGAAAAATTTTGGTGGTATCGAGATAATGAAAATATGAATTACA